TCACAACTGAAGAAAAAGAAAGAGTTTTTGGTTTATTTTAATGATACACCAGACGCTATTAGGACCATAGGATATGAGCCTTCTCAATCATAAGAAACATTAGGTGAACTATAGACAGTGAACAATCGATTCAGCAAGTTTAATACTCTTTTTCCACTTATAAAGTATCTGCAAATGTAGAAATTACATTACAGGCAGTCCCCGGGTTACGTGGATCCGACTTATGTTGGATCCGTACTTATGAACGGGGCTTTTCGCGCCCCGGAGGACGCGGGCAGCAGGACTGCCCAGACGCGCCGCGGTCCCGCCACCCGCGTCCTCCGGGGCGAGAAAAGCTGCTCCGCGTCTCCCTGGTCTGCTGGGGGCCCCCCCCGAGCTGAGATAGCTGCAGCGGCACAGGAGCCAAGCAAACAGAGCTGTAAACAGGGGAGTTTGAGTGGGAGTTCTGTTGGAGGGGCAGTGTGCTGGGAGAGAAGCTGAGCCCTGATTAGGGGCGGGGCTTCACTGATTAAGGGTCCTATAAAGGTAGCCTTCTAGTCAGGCAGCGGCACAGATAGCTTCAGCGGCACAGGAGCCAAGCAAACAGAGCTGTAAACAGGGGAGTTTGTAAGGGGAGTTTGGATATTGGGACTTGTTTGGAGTTTGTTTTTGCTGTGGAGAGGGTGTTCTAGTTTGTTTTTGTGTTCACCAGACTAATAGGATTTTGGTGAGAAAGTAGATAAAACACAGAGGCATTAGTGGCCATGGCCCAAGTAGTAGAGAACACAAGGAGGATGATTGGATGTGGTAGCTGCGGTATGTACATGATTCTGGAGGGGGTACCTGAAAGGAGTTTGGCAGAGTTGCTCTGCCCCAGGCTTCCTGGAATCAGCCACTGATCAGTTTCAGCAGCAGCTGACTTGGGGTTCTTAAGTTGAATCTGTATGTAAGTCAGAACTGGCGGTCAGTTTCAGCAGCGGCTGAATCTGGACGCCATTTCCGACTTACATACAGATTCAACTTAAGAACAAACCTACAGTCCCTATCTTGTATGTAACCCGGGGACTGCCTGTACTAGAGCAAACTAGTGGTCCACTTAGTTCAGTAGCCAACCTCCAGTAGTGCCCAGTACCAGACACCTCAGAGGAAAGGGACAAGAACTCGATAACAGAAAAGTATTGGATAATTTCCTGATGAAGGAAAACTTCTTCCTAATTTCAGCATATTTAGTGGTTGTTTTATACCCTGATGCCTGAGGATTTTTAGCCCTTATATATTTTTCTCTGAATTCTGATAAGCTGTTGGTTTTATTTACTTATGCCACATGATAACTTTGCATTGTGTAAAAAGTTCTTTATTAGATTTAGATTTGTTTACCTTTCAATTTATACATTTGGATCTTATTCATCTATTGGTTTAAGTAACATATTTTAGCCAGTAGGTGCTTATGAAGTATTAACTAGCAATTGCTACTTGTGATTGGTTATATTCTCTGTGTGACTGTTAAACATATTATCATTTCTATTCACTGATGGAATAACTTGCAATCAAGTAAAGAGATTAAGAAAATTTCACAAATAATGCTAGCGAAAATACTGGTATGAGCTCTGGCAGCATGACAGGGCCGTCAGGAATTCCAGTGGGGCTACTGTAGCTTGCAGGGTGGGGATGCTGGAGGAGAAGAGCCCTCATGGCTGGAGAGAGGAGCCTAATGGAGAGACTGATTCTCCCTCTCCCAGACTTCCCCTGGTCTGGAAAACTCTTTTCCGGGACCCATCAGGTTTGCGGGGGGAGGGGGAGGCAGACCAGGAAGGTCCAACCTGTATGACCTTTGCTTTCTGCAAACAAAATTTTCAGTAATGCAAATATCTACAACATGCAATGAAAACAGGAACGGGGGGGTCATCAAATCCATCAAAGCAAGCTAGCATTTTTATATAAACCAAATTCAATTCCCCCCCCAAATATTTGTCCAACATTGAACTCAATGGGAATCTGCTCAGGTAAGGAAGCCCAATGTCTATTTGAACAGCATTAACAGGCAAAGCTGTTTGCAATTTTGTTTTCGTTACACCATTTCTCACTTTGTCAGGGCTTGCCAAACCGCGGCAAGCCCTGCTCGCCAGCCACGCTGTCCGGCGATCTGCACATGCACAGATCGCCCAAACCCGGCTCTTCCGGGTTACAATCTGCTTGCCACAGGCGAGTAGATTGTATTATTTGTTGAGCCCTGCCCATGTTTATATCCTACATTCTATTGTAATAATGTTTGTACAAAATACATAAGAACATAAGAATGGCCGTACTGGGTCAGACCAAAGGTCCATCTAGCCCAGTATCCTGTCTACCGACAGTGGCCAGCACCAGGTGCCCCAGAGAGGGTGGACCGAAGACAATGATCAAGCGATTTGTCTCCTGCCATCCCTCTCCAGCCTCTGACAGACAGAGGCCAAGGACACCATTTTATCCCCTGGCTAGTAGCCTTTTATGGACCTAACCTCCATGAAATTATCTAGCTTCTCTTTAAACTCTATTATAGTCCTAGCCTTCACAGCCTCCTCAGGCAAGGAGTTCCACAGGTTGACTACACGCTGTGTGAAGAAGAACTTTCTATTATTAGTTTTAAACCTGCTCCCCGTTAATTTCATTTGGTGTCCTCTAGTTCTTCTATTTAGGGAACTAATAAATAACTTTTCTTTATCAACCCTCTCCACACCACTCATGATTTTATAGACCTCTATCATATCCCCCCTCAGTCTCCTCTTTTCTAAACTGAAAAGTCCCAGTCTCTTTAACCTGTCCTCATATGGGACCCGTTCCAAACCCCTAATCATTTTAGTTGCCCTTTTCTGAACCCTTTCCAAGGCCAAAATATCTTTTTTGAGGTGAGGAGCCCACATCTGTACACAGTATTCAAGATGTGGGCGTACCATAGTTTTATACAGGGCAGTAAGATATTCTGGGTCCTATTTTCTAAGATATGCCTTATGAATGATCATTTAAAAGCTCAATTTGCTGCTCAATAATATTATGGCAAAATGGACACAGCAGCATTATATGTGATGTTATAAACATAAGCTGAGATCATAACTAGAAGTATGTTTTCTGAGTAAGTCTGGGCAGTGGCCAAATCAGTTCCTCAGAGACAAAAGACAAATTGGTGCTCACCACAGTGTAAACAAAGCTGATGGATCATTACCTACTCAGTGGTCATTCTCTGACTGGAAAGGAGGCAGGGTCAGAAATCTACATCTTAGCAACAACAACAAAAAACAAAACAAAACAAAAATTCCACAGCATTCCCTTCCACACAGCTGCCTGTTGCCTCGCTCTCAGCTGTAAGCACTTCTCTGAGCAGGGGACAGGACTATAAAAAGAAGAGGCCCCTTCTCTCTTCCTCAGTGTCTCTGGCTGCACCTCAGGTGACAAAGGAAAACAGCCACTGGGACTTGAATGGGAAAGGAACGGTCCTGACCTGAAAGTTTAGCCAGTAATCTATTGGGGCACATGGTGATGAACTTTGCTTGAACTAATATCATGTGTTAAGTTAGGCAGCAATAAGCAATTTTTCATTGTTTTTCTTATAACCATTTCTGATTAAGCCTTATTACATACACTTTCAATGTCTTTGTAGTTAATAAGCTTGTTTGTTTTATCTAATACAGCAGTGGTCTCCAAACTTTTTAAGCACAAGATCACTTTTTGAATTTAAGTACAATCCAGGATCTCTCTCAAACTCAAATACCCTTGTCCCGCCTCCTTCCCACCCCTTCTCCAAGGCCCCACCCACTCCGTCCTCTCTTCCTCCCCCATCCTCCCTCCCTTTCACCAGGCTAGGGCAGAGGGTCGGGGCACAGGCTCTGGTTTTGGGGATTTGGAGTGTGAGGGGCTCTGAGCTAAGCCTGGGGCAGGAGCTGGGGTATGGGGGGGGTCATGACTGGGACAGGGGATTGGAGCTGGCTCCAGCTGGACACTGCTTATCTCAGGTGGCTCCTGGGTGGTGGGGCAGTGAGGCTAAGGCAGGCTCACCCTGCCCTGGCCCTGCACCACACTCCAAAGCAGCCTACATACTCCCTCCATCCCAAGCCCTGTTGTGCCCCCACCCTCCGTTCTGTGGAGATAGAATACAGGATGGGAGAGGGGGAACCCTGACATCAGCACCCCTCCTCTTCCCTCCCTGCTCTGCAAAGCAAGCAGGGGGCTCCCAGGGCAGGGCAGCTCCAAGGTTAAGGATAGGAGATACATAGCAGTATGGGGAGGGGCAACTGAAGAGGCTTCAAAATAATAAATAAATAAATAAATAAATAAAAATAATAATATATGGAGATATACCATCTCAGAGCTGGAAGGGACCTTGAGAGATCATCAAGTCCAGTCCAGTCCTCTTGCCCTCACAGCAGGACCAAGTACCATCCCTGACAGATTTGCCCCACATCCCTAAATGGCCCCCTAAAGGATTAAACTCATAATGCTGGGTTTAGCAGGCCAATGCTCAAACCACTGAGCTATCCCTCCTTCCCGATCCTGATCTACTGGTTGGTGACCACTGTAATACAGTGTGTTTAAGTTGAAGAGTTTGGATAACAATTTTAAATAATAAACTGGTGTATTAGACCCTTAATGAGATAATGGATTTATTATACCTGTTCTGTTTCTGGGCAGTGCAAGACGCACAGTTTCGGGGATCAAGGAATGGCTGGCTGCAGCACACACAGACAGAGCTGGGAGTGACTTACATGCTGGAAGCTGTTTGTCAGCAGTCCAGGTTGGAGGTTATAACAGCAAAGCACTATAAAGGGAACCCCAAGGCAGGGATAACACAGCTACTCAGAGCTTGTATTCACATACAGCACTACAGCTGCACCACCCCTCTCAGAGGTGGGAGCTATGTTGATGGGAGAAGGTCACCTGTCACTGTAACACGGTCTACACAGGTGGTTAGGTCAGAGTAACTATATCACTGACAGGTGTGAATTTTTCACACCCAGAGCAACACTGTTACACGGATATAAGTGTGTAGTATAGACTGGGCCTCAGTCCAGATTGTACCCTGGCGTGTCACACTCACTCACTGACCTGGCTTTGTTGGATGCTAGATTTCTTACTCTTCAAGGATTCAGGCATCTCAATCTGCTAAACAAAGTAATGAAATTTAAAATGCAGTAAACTCAAAGAAAGCAATTATGCAGACAAACTGGACTGACCCGGTTTCCACTGAATCCAAGGGGAGGATCAGAAGCAGAGCGTTAGTTAATTTATTTATATTTTCTTAATCCAGTTCAAAGTCACCATAGCTACCAAGTAGGAGCAGTAGCAGCAGCTGAAAATTAGTCATTGTTACATCTAAAATGTTAACATATTGTGATATGCTATACTTTGGGGGAGCTCCTGTATCCCCCATAATCCCTGAAAATTAGTCATTGTTACATCTAAAATGTTAACATATTGTGACATTCTATACTTTGGGGGAGTTCCTGTATCCCCCATATTCTTCATCTGGATTTGTGATAGTATAAAATATATGCGGCCTGCAATTATGATTGGCTGAAAGTCACTGTCCTAGCTAAATACGTTTATCTTAGTGACTAGGAATTTATGAGATTATGTTGCATGGCTGTCTCTAAAACATGCTGTCAGTTAGAGAATCAGCCAGATAATAGTTCATCAGAGACAACTAGGAAGGAAGGTAACTAATTCTGCGCTGATTAGGCCTTGATTGGAGTACTGTGTCGAGTTCTGGGCACCATATTTCAAAAAAGATGGAGAAATTAGAGAAGGTCCAGAGGAGAGCAACAAGAATTATTAAATGTCTAGAGAACATGACCTATGAAGGAAGACTGAAAGAATTGGGCTTGTTTAGTTTGGAAAGGAGAAGATTGAAAGCAGTTTTCAGGTATCTAAAAGGGTGTTACAAGGAGGAGGGAGAAAAATTGTTCTCCTTGGCCTCTGAGGATAGGACAAAAAGCAATGGGTTTAAACTGCAGCAAGGGAGGTTTAGGCTGGACATTAGGAAAAAGTTCCTAACTGTCAGGGTGGTTAAACACTGGAATAAGTTGCTTAAGGAGGTTGTAGAATTTCCATCTCTGGAGATATTTAAGGACAGGTTAGATAGACATCTATCAGGGTCTGGTTGTGAGGGCAGGGGACTGGAATCGATGACCTCTCGAGGTTCCTTCCAGTTCTAGTGTTCTACGATAATTCCCCGGGCAGGTGTCAAACAACCATCAATAGCCACTGTCCAGCAAGAGAGCTACAAGTCAATGACTCATCTGCGTAAGACCACACCAAGGGAATTCTCAACCTTTCTGGGGGGACTCAGCAATGCCCACCAGACATGCCTGTACTTGTGTTCATAGGCCCAACAGTATAAAGCAGAACAGAGGGGCCCTTAGCCTTTCTCCTGTCCCCACCTATGCTACAAGCCAGTGGTTCCCAACCAATTTTATACTGCAGACCGGCAAACCCATTTGCAATCTTTTGGAGGACTACTAACATTTTATCTGCATATTTATTAGACAAATAATGAATATGCAAATACAATGTTAACTATCCACCTAGCCCAAACCCAGCCCCTTGCTCCTCAGTGCAATACCCTTTGACCCTCACCCCTACACCCCAAGTCCTTTGACCCTTTAACTTCTGACCCCTACAGCCCATGCCAATGCTCTCTTGCCCGATGATCCTACCACACCCACACCCAATACCCCTTTGACCTCACCCAAGCCCTGCACTCCCCAGAGCAAGGCTGCCCCCTCCAGGGAGCAGGCATAGCTATTACTGCTGCGCAGGCAGGGGGAGCGGCTGTTGGCAGTGCGCACGCTTCCTCCTCCTTTGCTTCCCCTTCCTCCCCAAGTGCGTTGCATGTCTCCATGAGTTGAGGCAAAGTGGAGGAGGGGGGAAGTGCAGAGCCCCAGCTAGGCTGCCATCTTACTGGGGAAGGGGGGAGGGAGGTGCCTCCTGCCATGGCCTCAGCCCCAGTGCCACCACCAAGCAAAATCAGCCACAAGGCTGCCGGAGCTAAGCTGCTGCGAACAGCCAACTTCAGCTCTGGCAGCTGCCACAGCCCCAGCAATTGGGACACACTGCTATAAGCAACAAGGACTCTGAGAAGACGACCAAAGACTCCAACAGAGAAGACTGGGTCAGGGTTAATCAGTTTCAAAATTCGAACTGGTCTCCATCTCCATTTACTCAGTGTCAATTTTAAAATTGTTTAAAATGGAACACATAAGTCATGTGTTGCCTTCCTAGTCACTTTAATGAGCAAGAGGATATCAAAATCCTAGTACTAACCCTGCAGTCCACATGTAGTGTCGTCATGTGTTGCCTTCCTAGTCACTTTAATGAGCAAGATGATATCAAAATCCTAGTATTAAACCTGCAGTCCACATGTAGTATCTTTTTTTCAGTTCTTAAAAAGAACTGAACATAGCAGCTGTTCTACATTACCATCAAATGTCAGGACATCAGCAAAGGTATTGACATTTAGCACTCAGTACAGCTAAGAACACCACAGAAACTCTTATTATGAAGATAAGTATAAAATTAAAGGTTAATTTGGTTAAGGAGATATAAATATATATTTATAAAGAAAGCCAGAATCGGCAAGTAAATAAATCCATGAGAATAAGTAGTATTAACTGTAGTGTGAGAAGAATGTATGTTTCCAAAAGTAGCTAATAAAATAAAGAGCTGCAGTAACAAGACAAAGAAAAATGGTCTTTAAAGAAACAAGCCCAAAACTTCCCACTGTTCTGTTGGTAAGGAAAGAGTAAGTGACAAGATAAGAAAGGACAGGTGTTAGGAAGAAGGAAGGGTAAGCTGTCTCAAATTGGGTTTTAGCAGAAGTCAGTAATTGGTGATGACATCACTTGGTTGTTTAAAGGTACAAAAAGTAAACTCTTAAAGAGACTATTGCTAATACTTGCCTGACCACTTGGAGCCAACCAGTATGGGTCTAAGTATGCCTGGGTTTACCCCATTTGAAAAAGTCTTGACTACATTCTTATAAATGTTTTGCTACTGTCTGGATACAGTAAATTGCTTATTAGTTAGGTTTTTATGCATCTTTAGAGCAACTGCATGAAGTACCAAATGGCCCTTGGATTTCATAAAAGAATTTATGGTTAAAATAGTGTTTAGTGATTTCCCATATTAATAATGTCAATTAATAATTCTAATACCTATAAAAGATGTTCTAGTTTAAATTTAAAAAATACATTCACGGACAACAGGGAATTTTCTGACTCTCCACTTTTTAAAATTTACTAAATTTCTCTCTTAAAGTCTCTCAGTATGAATTTTTCAAAATTTCAGACTGATCACCCACTTTTTAAAATTTACTAAATTTCTCTTGAAGTCTCTCAGTATTAATTTTTCAAAATTTCAGACTGATCATAGTAAACATGGTGAACAAAATGTTTTAGTAGAAAACAAAAATTCAGACAGGACATGAATAAAGCAAGTCAAAGACACAGATAAGAGTTATAAAGTAAGTGTGCGACAAAAGGTCAGCTTTAAAATCCAGATTGCACAGTATTTCTTGACATTTCCACCACCTTGTCAATTCATCCTGCATTAACAATGCTGGAAACTACAAGCCCCTTTGGGGGAACAGATGTCAATTCATCCTGCATTAACAATGCTGGAAACTACAAGCCACTTTGGGGGAACAGATAGTTCAGTGGTTCGAGCATTGGCCTGCTTAAACCCCAGGTTGTGAGCTTAATCCTTGAGAGGGCCATTTAGGGATCTGGGGTAAATCTGTCAGGGATGGTACTTGCTCAAGGTCCCTTCCAGCTCTATGAGATATAATATATGGATATATATACCTATTACACAACTGATGGTAGCGGCAATGGGAATTTCATTCCCATAAAATTCCCTAGCATAGATAAGAGAGATAGCTTTGCTCACCATTTCTTTGTCTTCTTTCATTGTCTTCATCAGCTGTTCTGATATTATCTTTTTTAAGCAGCTACTTAGTAGAAATGCCTAAAATAGATCAAGAGAATATATTTTAATTTCTTTTGTTAAAGATTGACTCAACCCTATTTCCCTCCTCCCTTCCCCATTTTCTCAGTAACTACTGAACTATATTACTTGCCTTATTTGGCTAATTTTACAATGTACTTAAAACGTGTGCTTACTGAATTAGTTGCAAGTAGTTGTTAAAACCCAATATCATTGTGACTAAACCATGACACCACCTCTTAGAAAATTTAGGGTAGGAGTTTTTATTGTGGGTTCTGTACAGCAACTAATTATTTTATAATTGCCCATGTTTAGTGGCTGTAAGGCAGCTGAACATTCAAGACCAGCTTAGACAAGCCAATTTGGTATTGTCAATGCCAATACAAGTACCTACCATATTTCTAACACACCTTAGTTTCAGAAGTGCTGAAAATGCAAATGGCAGGAGTTCAGAACCTCTTAAATTCAGATCCAGCTGTGTCTACGTGGATCTGAATTTTTTGTCTACGTGCAAAAGTTGTTGCAACAATGCAAATGTTGACAGTATACTGCTATTGCTTGGAGCCAGTCTCTCCACCGTTTTATACTGCATGGTTATAGTGCTAGTGTGAATTGAAAGGATTGGGCATGACAGCATCACTAGTTCTACAGAGGCCTGACGCAAAGACCTTCAAAGCCTTCATCACTAGTTCTACAGAGGCCTGACGCAAAGACCCTCAAAGCCTATGGGAGTCTTTCCATTGACTTCAGTGGATCAAGTCTTGGGGTCCTCTCAGCAGCTTTTCAGGTTTTAATTTCTTCACCTTATCTTTGAAGAAAGGAATGCAGTTTTTCTACTCATTAGCACCTAGGGGCAGCTTTAGTAAACAGGTTCACCTGGAAAGTTAACAATAAGGGAATGCTGATTTGGCTGCTCTCTTCCTAGAACAGTGACCAAAGTGAAAAGCCTCATAGCTTGTGAATATGGAGGTGACTGATGTTCTTGTAAAACTCTGAGTGGCAGCAAGTTAATGAGCTTTTACATAAGTGGGTGAACGAGAGAGAGTCATGCTGAAATAAAGAAATAATGCATGAAAAATTAAGCATTTTGATTTCCCTTGGAAAATGATCTGCTACTAATTTTGGCTGGCTTGGGAAGGGGTGACTTTATTTAACTGAAATATTAGTCATCTGATTAAAATGTGGCACATGGCCAGAAAAAGTTAGCCAGCTCACAGTCTGACTGAACCAGCATCAACCTTTAAAGACGTGTTGGGAAGACCTAGAAATGGTAGTTGGATTATTACCTTATGTTAGAATTGACTTTGAAATGTGAACCTGCATTGTTAGAGCGGTAGAATGGTAGGTGTTTGCTCAGGTCTTGTAATGTAAACAAACAATCCTTGTCTGTTACTATACTATAGCTTTGATTCAAGATCAGAAGGAAATATTAACATTTATGATGAAACTGGATTGAAGTGGATTATTGTTTATATATCCCTTTGAAAGTTGTGGTAAACAGCATGTGAACTGTTTAAAAAGGACAAATTACCTTATACTAATTGGAATGATGTTTGGGAGACAGGATGTTATGTCAAAACCCTATTGTGCTCTCCCAGGCCAAGAGGCGGTAACAAAAAATATAAAGGCCCTTTGAACAGGATCCTTTTTTGTCTCATATGCTTGGATGCTCCTGGGGAAAGCTGCAAGCCATAAGAAATGAGATCCCCGGACATCCTGGTGCTCCTTGCCTTAGATTCTCAGATCTGCTGGAGGTTTCATACCAGAGAAACCTGAGCCACAAGAACTGAGGTCCCAGGCATGGGCTAGAATCACCCTGGATATAGATTTTGAATTATGGCCATGAACTAAATTCTAAAAACCTTTGCAACTACAAAATCACCATCTCTGTTATATAACTGAATCTCGAATTGAACTCATGTCTGTATGTACACTGATCTTTTAACCAATGCTCTTTTTTCTTTAGTAATACATTTTAGTTGAGTTGATAAGAATTGGCTATAAGTGTGTGTTTGGAACAAGGTCTGAAATATGCATTGACCTGGAAGGCAATGTGTCTGATCCTTTGGGATTGTTAGAAATTTGTTTAACTGGGGTGTGTGGGTGTTGGCCTGGGGCTGGGTATATTAAGGGCACTGCATGGTTTGGACTGAGAGTGACTAATAAGATAATACAGAAGGGGTGTGTGGGTGTTGGCCTGGGGCTGGGTATTTTAAGGGCACTGCATGGTTTGGACTGCAGAGTGACTAATAAGATAATACAGATGCTGGTTTGTGCTGGTTTGGTGACTATAAATATTGGAATAATCACCAGGGCTGGAGATTGGCCATCCCATTTTTTGCTGTGTACCCTAATTGAGTGACCTCAGCTGACTTCCCTGGATCCTGCATATAACAGGGAGTGTAAGGTAGGTGAGAAAAGGGGAAGAAAGAGAAACAGCTTATCTGAAGAACACCCCACATGCCCCATGTTTGCTTGTTTTAAAAAAGCCAAGTACTAGGGATGGATCTGTACCAAGATTCAACCCCTCCACTAAAATCTGGGTTCTTTCATATCTAGCTCGGAGTGCTACAGTACATAACTGTAAAATGGCTACTTTTTAAACAGTAACCAGAAACCTGATGGTGTGGTGGTGGAACACTATTGAGGTACTGTGGAAACATGGATTATTATTATTTACAGTAGGCTATACAGATTTATATCAACCATGTTCTTGTTTTTTTGTTTAATATGTACTTGCATGTAAATATTCATGTGCGTCATCTACCAGACGGAGATAGGGTCTAGTCATTAATCATTTCCACCACATTAAATTTTGTGAATTTCAGGGGCTTAGTAAATATCAGACTTGCAGCCCAGTTCAGGGCAATCTCTCTTGCCAAAAATCAATCCCCTCTTTGAGGTCCCATGTAAGTCTGGTCTTAGACTGAACTGGCACCGGCACAGCTGTTGTCCAGTTACAGAAGAGTAAATTCCAGTTCCTTTGGCTAGCAGCCCACATTTCTCCACAGGCCTTCTCCTTTCCTGCCTGGAAGCTAACCTGTTTTGTGTAAAAGACGATCCATGTCCATGAGTCTGAATCTTTGTACTCGAACCGGAGTTCTAGGGTCTGCTCATATCCCTGGTCTTTTGGCCGTGTAATCGCACCCTGAAAAGCAAGAGAGAAAAGAAACAGCCATGAAAGGGTATCAACTCAGAATCAGGGCTGGACTCTCCATTCAGACAGGTTCAGTTTATGTGGCTTATTGGACAAAAGTGCAATTGAAGCAGATGGCGATTTGTACTGGAAGAGGCCCCCTGTGAAGGGTGAAATCTCCACTAAGCAGGGGCAGTAGATTTATATAATATTTGGCAATGCCAAGAATGGGTCCATGCCTCCCCCTCTCCCCCCCAAATGCCTTGTAAGCCCATGTGGAATTGAGAGCTGCAGGCTGGGATCTGGGATGAGAGGCTCAGGGTGCAGGAGAGGGCTCAGGGCTGGGGTACAGCAGCGGGATGCAGGGGGGGTGAGGGCTCTGGCTGGGGGATGGGTGGGTAGGCTCTGGGATGGGGATGAAGTTTTTGGGGTGCAGACAGGCTACCTTGTGGCTGTGGCCAGAGGAGGCTTCCCCCCAGCCCTCTCTCATCGGTAGCAACAAGCAGTTGCCCAGGGGCCCAGGTGATTTAAAAAGGCACCGGAGTCCTGGCCACTGTAGCTTTGCTGAAAAACGTCTCTTGATTCAAAGACACTTCTGATATGCCCAATGCAGGTTCCAGGGTAGATGAGGCAGTGGAGTAGCAAATAAGCTATGGGGCATATCAAAAGCGTCTTTGAATCAAGAGATGCTGAAGCTGTTCCCCAGAGCAGGTTGGGTCAGCATGGCTCAGCTATGGCTACCTGGGGGCACCTCCTGGCAAGCAGTGAGGAGGGAGGTTCAGGGCTTTTCCATGCAGAGGGCTTGTGGTCCTGGCTGAGGGAGGGGGGCAGGGAGCAGCAGCCAGCCAATGCACAGGGCACAGGGACAGGCCAGGGGCAGCATGTGGGGCTGGAGGACAGGACTGACCCTGAACATTGGTGGAGGTAGGCCCCCATGCTCCCACAGGCCCCACAGGCCCATAGAACTTACAGCCTAGAAACAAAAGGTTGACTATTAGACCCAAAAAGACCCCATTTTGAATTATACTGAAATATTTTGAGACGTGCAATGTCAACAAGGTACTTACTAGAAAAGTAACCTGCCAGCATCTCACCCTGCTGATCTTGAAACTGGCCTGTTTGGTCTGGTTACTAGGCAGCTTTATGCAGCAGCTAATCTCATTATTTCCTATATGAACAGCAGCAGAACAACCTACTTCTGGGTAGTCACAGGTGCAGGGATCAAGCTGTATATAGCCATAGTGCTGCACTTCTTGAACCAGCTCTAGAAACTGCATCAGAAACACAGAATTGGACAGTGATATAAAGTAGTGTCCCACGTGATCTTCTGTACCATGTAGGGTTAGCTTGCTATGACTCAAGGCTATGCCCTGCACTGACTTTCTCTGAGGCCCCACACCCTGCTCACCCAATCCCCAATCCTTTGGCGCTTGCTCTCCCCCCCACTCACTTTCACTGGGTTGGGGCATGGGACTGAGGGGTCTGGAGGGTGAGAGGGTGCTCCAGGCTGATGCTGGTGCAGAGGGTTCAGGTACAGGATGGGATGTGAGGTGCAGGTTCTGAGAGGCAGTTTGGGTGCCCTGGGGGTTCAGGGTTAGGACAGGAGGTTGGAATGCAGGAGAGGGTGAGGTGTGCTGGCACTGTCCCCACAGCTTCCAGTGGCTGCGGTTCCCAGCCAATCAATGGGGGCTGCAAAGTTGGCACCTGGAGTGGTGGCAGCACGCAAAGACCCCCTGTGCCTAGGAGCTGGACATGCTGGCTGCTCCCAGAAGCTGTATGAAGCCAGGGCAGGTAGGGAGACTACCTTTGTCCCACTGTGCTGAAGACTGGACTTTGGTCTATTAAAATTTCCACTGTATGAAGCCAGGGCAGGTAGGGAGACTACCTTTTTCCCACTGTGCTGGAGACTGGACTTTGGTCTATCAAAATTTCCCAAATGGCTTTTAATAGCTACCAGGTGTAAAATTCACCAGATTGTTTCAGTCAAACCCCTCTGCCCCTCTCCCAAAATCTGAAACAATGTTTTATTCTGACTTTTTAAAAATTAAACTGATTTGTTTTGCTTCAGGACTTCATGTTTAGAAATTTCCTTCACTTTTATTAAACATTAAAAGTGTTTAATCATAGAATACTAGGACTGGAAGGGACCTCAAGAGGTCATCGAGTCCAGTCCCCTGCCCTCATGGCAGGACCCAGTACCATCTAAACCATCCCAAATAGATGTCTAACCAACCTGATCTTAAATATCTCCAGAAATGGAGATTCTACAACCTCCCTAGGCAACTTATTCCAGTGTTTAATAATGCTCATAAGTGAAACATTTTATTTTGAAGACATATGTGTAACCCAGAATTTTCTCTTCATTTTTTGGCACTACAGTGAATAAAAAAATCCATTATTCATCTCTAATCATCTGGTATCTTCTCACTCACTTTCCCTATCTGTAAAATGGGTCTGAAAGTCAAAGCAAGAGAGAGTGTATATGGAACTTTATGATTCTATTTTTACAGTCACTTTTCAGAGGAATCCCCCATTTAACATATGAGGCTGCAGCCTGGAGAGCCTCCATCCGGAAATATACTCTCTCAGTAGGTTTATATCACTTTAAAAGAGCAAATTACCTTCATTTTGTTTGCTGCTTTTTGTAGCAATTTCAGTTTCTGCATCTGTCCATCTGTGGGTTTGACCCAATTCTTTTCAATTTCCTGCAGAGCCTTATTTAGAAAAGTTAGACAATTTTAACTAAAAAATAGCATATCCATCTGCTCTTTAGGGAGGGACAGGGGTGAAGATGAACAATGGAACACAAAATGTTTAGTCTACTCAACTCTCAGTCCCTGCACCAAAGAAGTTTCCAATGCTCAGTGTTGCTCAACATATCTGCAAGCCCCAACCTCTGACTATGAAAAGTGGCATCCTATTCTTATTCTGTCACAACATTATTCCAGTGCACAGAGAAAACATAACACTATATGGAATGATGGGGTCACAACTACCCATTGTAAAAATCAAATGAGCAAGCAGAAGCACTAATTAACCATGGGAAGGAAAGATCTCACAGCATGATCTAGTGGTAAGGTCATTGGATCCATGTCTACACTACAGCTTCCATCAATGCTATCGCAGATGGTGTGCTCTGAGGATGAATTACAATCATGAAATTTGCCAACAGAGACTATGCACAGGTTTAAAGCCTTTTGAATCAAGTTCTCCGTAGCGAAAGGAGGAGCGTTACAGTTATTATGGATATTTTCATACCTTTAGATCAGGGGTGGGCAATAATTTTTAATGGGGGGGCCACTCCAAGAATTTGGAAAGTGGTCAAGGGCCATACTCTTCCATATTAATGGAGGAGGTGTGGGGTCTAGGACGGAGGTTGTGTGCAGAAGTGATCTTGCAGTAAGGGGTTGGGGTACAGGAGAGGGTGTGGGATCTGGGAGGTAGTTTAGGTGAAGGAGGCAGTTGTGACCTAGGTTAGGGGACCAGAGTGAAGGGGGTTGGGTTGTGATCTTGGGCACAAGGGGATTGTGACTTGGGGCAGGGGGCTGTGGTGCAGGAGAGGGTGCAGAAGTTTGGGTTGTGACCCGGGGCAGAGGATTGGGGTGCAGGATCTGGGAGGGGATATTGATGCAGGAGGGGGGCAGAGGATTTGAGTTGTGACATTGGGCAGGAGATTGAGGTGCAGGATCTGGGAGGGACTATGAGGGCAGAGAGTTTGGGTTGTGACCTGGGACAGAGGATTGAGGTACAGGATCTAGAAGGGGGTATGGGTGCAGGAGGGGGAAACAGAGGGTTTGGGTTATGTGGATTAAGGGGGCAAAGTGTTGGGATGCCAAAGGCATCCCCTGGCTGGGAGATTCAAGGAGATTGAGGTGCAGGATCTGGGAGGGACTATGAGGGCAGAGAGTTTGGGTTGTGACCTGGGACAGAGGATTGAGGTACAGGATCTAGAAGGGGGTATGGGTGCAGGAGGGGGAAACAGAGGGTTTGGGTTATGTGGATTAAGGGGGCAAAGTGTTGGGATGCCAAAGGCATCCCGTGGCTGGGAGATTTACCTGCTTGACTCCCAGCCAGCAGCCTTCTCAAGCAGCCTCCCTGCCTGTCCTGTCCTCACACAGGCTGCAGGGGCCATGTGGTTTTTGAACAGCTACAAGCCCGAGGGGAGGGAGGAAGGTGCTTTGCAAGCTGCCTGTTGCTAACAGGCAGCTCCCATGGGCCGGGAGCCAGCCAATGGGAATGTGCTAGGTGCAGGGGCAGCACATGAAGCCTCTCCTCCCTCCCTCGGACTCTCAACTGTTCCAACAGAGCCCTGCAACGGCCGCTTTTCCTCAGCAGCATTGGGGGCAGGGAAAGCAGGGAGTCTGCCTGAGACTCCCTGCTGTATCCCTGGGCCAGATCTGATAGCTTGGTGGCTGGATCCAGCCACAGAGGGCATTTTGCCCAGCCCTGCTTTAGATTAATGAGAAAGAGCCTAGTGGAGTTTTATGAAAATCTTCCAAAATAAGTAGCCTCTGGGCAGAGACTTCTGAGAGACATTTTAATCCCTACAGAGCTGGCCTTAGATATGGGCAACCTAAGGGCCCACCTAGGGTGCCACGGTCACTGGGGTGCCCTGGTAAAGGGGCTCAGAATCCTACTTGTTGCCTTGTGCTCTCAGTTACTGGTACTGCGGCACCTGCCCCATGCTTCCCATCTTCCCCTGCTCTGTCTGGTGTCCGGCACTGCCCCTGCGGGGTAGGCTGCCTGCCAGAGGGCATTTTGCCCAGCCCTGCTTTCTCTCCTGGTGGGGAGAAGCAAGGGGCACAAAATGAGCGACTTCCAGAGCTGGCCACCAGAGCAAAGCTGGTGTTGGGTGTGCCCCCCTCCAGCTCTGGGAGTGCTGACCTGGTGGGGAGAAGCAAGAGGCACAAAAAGGCTTCTTGTGCAAGATACCACAAGGGACTCTCGATAGCAGGGCTGGGCAAAAAGATGATCTGTGGGCTGGATCCAGCCTGCCAAGCTGCCGGATCCGGCCCGCAAGAGCCTCAGCTGGGTCCCTGACTGTCTCACTCCCGCGCTTGGCACTCCAGAAAGCCGGGTGCAGGGCCACATGTGTGTTTGTGAAAGCTGAGAGCCTGGAGAGGGGGTGAGAGGCTTCTCATGCTGCCCCTGCCCCCCAGTAGCTCCCGTTGGCCAATTTTGGCTAATAGCAGCTCCCTATTTGCAGGACAGGCAGCATGTGAAGTGCCCCTCCTCCCTTATCTTTTGGGCCTACAACATTCAATTCAGAGCAGTAAACATGGCTCCTGAAGCTCCCCTGAGCACATACAGGGGCTGAAAGGCAGGAACCTTGGCTAAAAAACCTGCTAGGCTACTGACTAGGAGCCAGGTAAGGTCTCCCAGCCTGAGCCTACCCATGGCACCCCAGCCTCTCCTTCCCCCAATCTCTGCCCCCCTCAGACACTCCTACCCCATATACCCCAAACCTTCTGCAACCCTGCTCCAGCCCCCATACATCTTTCCAGGCACTGCACCTCCCCATACTCTTCCTCCAGTCACAACCCCCTCTCAGACCTTGCACCTCAATCTGCTGCCCCTGGCAACCCAAATACCTGCACCCTCTCCTCACTCCTGCCCCACGTCACAACCCCGTCCCAGACCCTGCACTCCCTTCTCCTACACCCCTCTTCCAGGCTAGAATCGTCTCCAGTACCCATATCCCTCCCTGACTCTGCAACCCCATATCCTGTCACAGGTCACAATCCAAACCCCTGCACCATACCCCAAGTCACACTTCCCTCCCAGACTCTGCACCCCCACCTTACCCCTCTCCATTGTCCCAGGTCACAATCCCCTCCTTCACCCAAATTTCCTCCCAAATCCCACACCCCAATCCCTGATGCACCCAATCTCCATCCAAGACCCCTGCACCTCCTCCATTGATATAATGAAAGAGTGCAGCCTTCGGCCACAAACCAAATTCTTGGAGTGGCCTCCCCATCAAAAATAATTGCTCACCCCGGCTCTATAGCAGTGGTTTTCAAGCTTTTTTTTAAAAAAATGACCCAGTTGAAGAAAATTGTTAACGCCTGCAACCCAACATAATTTGACTAGAGGAGCGGGCTCTGGGGTAGGGCTGAGGATAAGAGCTTTGGGGTATGGGCGGGGGCTCGGGCTTTGGGGGCCCAGGCAGAAGGTGTTTACCTTGAGCGGCTCCTGGTCAGCGGTGCAGCGGGGGTGGGCAGGCAGACTTCCCTCCCCCCCCTGGCCCCCCGGCCCTGTCG